TATATATATATATAATCAAATCCCTTCTTCCTGCAGAGCTACAATGTCAGCACAGTCATGAGCCAACATCTCATGAATGTCCGGGTCTGTTTCCAGGCTATTTGATAATCCCCACACCAATGCCATACTGAATAACCTTTTAATGTTTAAAGCCTGAAAATACCCAGCATTTTAAGAAGTGTGAAGAAACATTCTCATACTACAATGGTGGACTATACATTGGAGCAAACTCGTGGGGGGAAATTTAGCAGCATCAACCAAATTAAAAATACACATATCCTTTGTCCAGCAGGTCCACTGATAAAAATACATCCTATGTCTAAGCTCATTAACATTTGTGCACAAAATGGGGCACCTGGGGATTCAGTCAGTAGAGCACCCAACTCTTGATCTCAGGGTTGGGAGTTCAAGCCCATTAGGTGTGGAGCCTACTTAAAAATAACCGTGCACAAAAACACTGCAGGGTTGTGTGTAGTAGAAAAGAAAAAAGAAGAAAACCGAAAAGGCCATCGACAGGGAAGTTGTCACCGAAATTATGAAACATCTATGCAATGGGATGGCCTGTGGACTTTAAATAAAGAATGGATGAGCTGCAGATGCTGACATCTTCTTCCGATACACAGACCGATGTAAAACAAGGACAGCAGAGCATACATGTACGATGGGATTCAATTTGTGTAGATTTTAAATCAGAGGAAGACTTCGTGTCAGATTCTTTAAGCTTCTGTGGCCTATTTCCCCAGGAAGCACTCGGATCAGAAGGACCTCCAACTTTTATTCTTTGAAAAGAGCAGGACATTCTGAACGCCCAGAAGGTTATGGAAGTTGCAGTCAGTAGAGGAACACTGTTGAGTCCATTTGCTGAAAAACTGGATGAGGTGTTGAGAAGTATTTTGAACAATGAAGTCGATGGCTCCCGTGTTTCCGTGTCCTTTGAATTTTGGATTCACGTAGCAGGTTAGAAATCTGCCAAGAGGCAACTTCTGTACAAGTCACCCTGGCTTCTGAGGTTTGGCCTTTCCAAAGCAGAGCTGTCTACCTGGATGAGACACACTTTTCTCTTCAGTGACGGGGAGACTCCGAGGCCAGGGCACTGGAGGGACCTCTGTGCACTCGCAGAGCAGCCACAACTCCAACCCTGAACAGTGACGGTCTCATCCAAACTCCTCCAACTCCAACCTTCCCTGCAATACATACTCGAAACACCGCACCTGGCAGTGACATGCGGGGGAGAGAGAGACATGCAGAACTGTGCCCCCGCCACTTCTGTTACACAAATCACAGTGAATGGGAAGAACTTGGGACTCTTAACACCACCCAATACATCCCACCACAGCCAGCCCCATAGGCCACAGCAGAGGAGGCACGCCTCCTGTAGAACCCGTGATACCCAGAAGGACCTCTCACCCCGGCACAAAGGCAACACTAGTCCTGCCTTCTCAGGGGTTTCTAGGACCAGTGGTTAGTTCCACAGTTTTTCTCTCCTTGGGAGTGCTCCTTTTGCACCCACGGCTGCCACTTCACTTCAAACTTACAATGTGTTACATGGCATTAGCTCTGCGTTTGATCTTCCCAGCTGTTAACAGATTATAAGCCTCTAGTCTTAACATTTCACAATTTCCCTCAGACCTCCTCACACTTAACATTTGGTTCTACATTGTATCTAATGAATGGGTTTCCACGGGATGGTCACACACATGATGTGATATCTATGTGGGATGTGGTATTTATTCCCTTCAAAAATCCAAAGTTAAAAAAAGGAAATGCGAAAGTATGAAGTAGAAAAATAAATCCAGAAGGGCAGTATTTGGCTAAAAGGCAAACAAATGTATAAGGACACAGAAAGAAAATGTTATTTCATTCATTTAAATTTTTATTTTCAATAGCTTCAATCCAAAAAAAGATTTCATAAGGTTATTTACAGTGCTGAATGTACAATTATGAATGTATGCCTTTTTGACATCAGGGTACCATTCTTGAGCAGCAATACATTTTAAAAAATATAAAGATGCAGAATCATTTCTGATATAAAGTTACTTAAAAAAAAATCCAAAGTCTTAGGGAATTCACAAATCATAACAGGAAGTAACTACCTTATTAATTTAATGTGCACATAATTACCAAATTTTATTACATTAAAAATATGTGTAAATGCCCACAGACTGTACAAAAATTAACATCCCACATTTTGTCAAAATTTCCCAACCACCTCCCACCATAAATATACAAAAACCTATTTTCAGATATGTCAAAATCGCATGCGTGAGATCTTAGAATGTTTTCTAAAGCTTGAATTTTGCTCTTTTCTGGATATTGTATCTATAGCCATTTGGGGAACAGACTACATAAACACTGATATGTTTTTTACCATGCCTCTGAAACTGTGCAGTTATCTTCACAAACATGGGAGACAATAGAAATACAGTTAATACTGCAACAGTTCTGTTTAAATGCAAGTGCAATTTGGAAAGCTCTCCAATGTAAGAATTATAAAACTAATATAAAAAGTATTTCTTTTGTTGTTGGCTTAGCCACTTTTATTCAAGCATTATTTGCAGCATTGTTTACAGCAGTTGGTGCTAGAAGATACAAAACATATAGTTACCACTATTTATATTTGAGGGAGAAAAAAAACTTTAAACAACCCTGAGGGAGACACACATTAAAAATCTTGTTATTTATTTAAAAAGTTAAAAAGTTACATATCATTATTTAACAATTACTTTCCCTGGACATTTCTGTCCTTTAAGTAGGTGCATAAATAAAATTTAAATCGGCAATATTTATTAATCTTTAATACATCAAAATAAGATATGTACAGATTTTTAAATTTAGGTCTGTATACACTCAAATAATTTAATGTGAAGTTCAGAATCAAAATTACTATGTAACGGTGACCTACAGAGGGAGAACTCAGTCTATCTATGGCACTGAGTAGGACCCACACCTGGATTCACACACATTCTTCAAATAACATTCTGGAAACCATCAATTGCAACTTGAACAACCCACCTTGTCTATGTTCAAATCCAACTTCCTACAAATGCTCTTCCACCTACCTAAAAACCTCATTCCTTTGAAAACAATATGGACAAATGAGATATAAAACCCTTATAAAATCTAAATGTTAAAAAAAAGAAGGGTGTAAAAAATATAGCTCTTTATGATCATGCTCTTCAAGATGTTAAATACAAACGGATAACTGGATTTTTAAGCTGCTACTTAGCAATTACTTTAATTATATGCTTCAGTATTTAAATCAAAGAATAAAATTTACAATTCTGGGAAACCACTTAAGAATAATGCTTCTACATATTGAAAATGAATGTGGAAATTAGAAAATGATCAAGAGAGTAAGTAACTATAGAAAACAGTGCTAATTCACAGCTCAAGAGGTCTAAGATGCATAGCTTCATAGAATCATTCATGGAACAATTGTTCTTATCTAATGTGTATTAATATCATATTATACTTTTGGATGGAAAACTTCAATTACATTTTTGTTAAGAATCATCAGTGGCAATAGCAGTAACAGTGATCCTGAGTGTAACTTACATTTTCCTATAGTTACCTAACATCATTCAGGTCTCTGCAGCATAAAAAAAGAGAACCATGTGGTTCTATAGTTCCGGCTAACATCTGATAAACTGGTAAATATCTATCAGGAAAATAAAGATCAGCTGGAAGTGGAAAGCACAAGCCTGCTACCAGTTAAGGAAGAACATAGGATAAGATCACATAGTTTTAGGAGTTTAGTGTCCATTTTATAGCAATATCAGTTTCCTTGTTTATTATAACTCTGGGCTTTGCCAAACTGCTGGATCTTACCTAGAAAGGCATTTTTAAAGTTACTTTGTTTAAAATTTAAACATAACCAGACAAAAGAGAAAGGTGAAAAATACTTTTCACATTTCTTTTGGCTCAATGAATGTCTATTTAACTTTATTTCAATTTTTCTTCCTCCCAGAAATTTTTACACCCAAATAATGCTCCTTTGTAAACATCTCCTTAAATAGGTAAGCTCTGACCTCTGGCGCCACCTAATGGCATAAAACAAACTCACCCAAGTTCATACTGCTTTGAAAAAGTTAGCAGTCACTCAAAACCACTCACTCATCTTTAAGCCTCATTATTTACAGGAGAGACATGTATCAACCCTTAAAAACTTTAGGAGGTTAAAGTCTAACTCAAAAAACTAAAACAAAACAAAACAAAACCCAATGCACTATTATCCTATGTCATTAATTAAAAACATAGAAAATAAAAATATTAAAATGATATAAACCTGAGAGAAAAAAAAGATATGAAGAGATATTAGACAGATCTACATCTACTGCCAAAAAAAATAATCTTTTTTCCTAGTGAAAATGGTTCTACAACATTTAAGTGAAGTAAATTATACTACTGACAGCAGACATACCACAAGATCCATTTAATAGCTTTGAGGGACATCTGAAGGCAGTGAAGCACCTTGCTGATTAGAAAAATAAAACCCAGGCAGTTTGTACAGAAAATATAAAACCATAAATGGAAATTACCTGAGTTGTTCTATAAGCAACACTGTAAAACTCCTAGGCTATCAAAGGGAACTGGTGTATGTATATATGGAATTCTTTGGAAGAAATTTTGGAATCAAATGAAATCAGGCTCTCTACCTATTTTCACTGGAGGCTAATTAACACCCATTTTATTTACCAATCACAAATTTAGGGCCAGTATATAAACGAGGACTTTTTCTAATAAGAGGGTTGTGAAAATAAATTTAAATGGATAAACCAAGTCTCAGAAGCTAATGTCTAAAAACCTATCAAATACCAACTTTCTTCTGTACCCTATATAAAGAGTTTCACTGAGGGTAACAAGAAAATTCTGGAAATATATATAATATGTAGTTACTGAATGAAGATATAGGACTTTACAGAATGATTAGTTTAACTGATGGGCCAATCTTTTTTGTTTTGTTCCGTTTATTAGAAAAAAAAGCTCTCATATCAGCTACTATATTAGAAGGGACATAAACTGAAATGGTGCCATTCTGACACACAGGATCAGAATGTCCTAAAATTACATTTTCCTGCTACTAGCATACCACCGAGAGTGATGCACTGCTATGTTATGGTGATGATTTGACATGATCCGTTCTCCTTAACTAAAGCTTTAGCTTCTGTTGTTGTTTGAGGTTTTGGTGGCCATTCTGGATCAACCAAGAGCTCCTGAGCCAGATACATGTACTTTGCCTTTGGTGTCTTCTTTCTACAGCCCAGAGCCCAGGACAAGCAGCATTTTCCCCACCGATCCACTGACTCCTAAGAAAATAAGGGAAAAAAAGAACACACTAGTAGATTAAGGTCTGCTTGTTTTTAACAAGTTTTTTTTAAAGCGTAATACATCAACACAGAAAAGTAAGAGGAAATGGCTTTTGAATACAACAAATAAATGAAAAAAAAAATCCAACTTAAAAAAGTCAGCTTTCAATTATTTAGGAACATATTTTTTAAGATTAGATTTTTTAAATTATCAATGCAATTTCATTTTATTTAGTTCTTTGTACCTATCCTCTTGTGTACATTTTTAAAATAACTTGCAGATCTGGATTCTATGACTCTACAACACAAAATATCCAATGTGTTAAGAATAACTTTAAAGTATTCAGAAAGAACACATTTTTAATATTTAATATGGAAACCCTCATATTCTATCCCAGATTATACCATTGCTCCTAGCAATTTAGCCAGCTGATCATTTTTGCAAGAAAGCAGTGTAAAAATATTATTATTACTGTTAATGTCATCTTTCAAAAAATAAAGTATGATGAAAATACTTTTGGTCAAAAATGGAACTTAAGATCATGTTTACTGTCAATCACTTCTTTTCACTTATTTTCATTAATATAAAGAATTTTTCTTTTTATAAATGGTTTCCCCTGGTGTTCCACTATTGGAAAGAAGTACACAGAAAGGTATAAATCAAGTACTATTTCTTACTATTATTTCATTATAAAAAGCTCTGCTGGCATTAAAATCTTTCTGGATCAATCCTGATGTTTTTAATGCATAGTGATCTTAGATAAATAATCTTTGAAGAACAAGAAGGTAGTCCCTAGTTATATTATACAAAAATGTAAATTCAGTATTGTATGATGACTAACATAAAATAAAATTTAAAAAAATGTAAATTCAAAATAGGCCCTCAAGAATTTAATTGAAATTTGAGATAAATAACACTGAAATAAGATAAAACTAAAATGACTATACTGAGACCTTAGTTATATTCACCTCTGAAGAACAGTCAATTTCTAATTATTTTGGCTGTTGCTCCTTCAAAGCAAAATTTAAATCCTAGGTTGTTTTGTTGTGCCATCAACATATAACTCAAGCTGAAACTAGGTTTAATCTCAATTGAAGTAATCTCACAAAATGAAATGTAACATAACTGAGGTAGGCATTCTAATGATGATAGCCAAAATGGTTTCATCATCAAGGAAGGCAAATTTGCTATAACATGTTTTGAAACATGTTTCTAAATTGGCCAGGAGAGAACACCAAAAATACTTTAAAAACTCTTTAAAACTTTTAAAGATCTTCTCGTTTATTTTGTCAACAAAACACAAGCTGCACTGGTAGCAGGAACTCACAGGCAAAAATAAGCTGTATGAGGTTGGGGGAGGGAGAGGGAGAGCACTGGAGATCATTTACCTAGTAGCCTCTTTACTGTCATAGCTAAAAAGAGTTATCATCACCTTAAAAGAAGTCTACAAGAAAATATCTGACATTAAGATACAAAAGAGACTAGATAATAGGATTCTTCTGGTGATCCAAATAACAAACACAATTGACCCTTGAACAATATGGGTTTGAACTGTGCAAGCCCAATTATGCAGATTTTTTTTTTTTTTTTGGATAAATACAGTACGGTGCTGAAAATGTATTTTCTCTTCCTTATGATTCTTCTTTTTTTTTTTTAAGATTTTATTTATTTATTTGACAGAGAGAGCACAAGCAGGCGGAGCGGCAGGCAGAGGGAGAGGGAGAAGCAGGCTCCCCGCTAAGCAGAGAGCCCGATGAGGGGCTCAATCCCAGGATCCTGGGATCAGGACCTGAGCTGAAGGCTGATGCTTAACCTACTGAGCCACCCAGGCGCTCCCCTTATGATTTTCTTAGTAACATTTTCTTTTCTCTAGCTTATTTTACTGTAAGAATATAGTAATACATACAACATACAAAATATGTGTTAACTGACTGCTTACCGTTATCAGTAAGGCCAACAGTAAGCTATCAGTAGTTAAGGGTTTTTTTGTTTTTTGTTTTTAAGATTTATTTACTTGAGGGGGGGGAGTGAAGTAGGGGAGCCCGACGTAGGGCTCAATCTCACAACCCCGAGATCATGACCTGAGCTGAAATCAAGAGTCAGACAGCTTAACCGACTGAGCCACCCAGGCGCCCCAGTAGTTAAGTTTTTGAGGAGTCACAATTTATAGACAGATTTGGGGCTGCGGAGGGAAGGGAGTGGTTAGCACTTCTAACACCTGTGTTGTTCAAGGGCCAACTGTAATTCCCATCCACATACACATGTCATGTAGGCACATACACAGTACACCTTAATATTTAACCTAAGAGGAGACTCACTTCTTGGATCTATCTTTTCCCCAAGGTGTTTAAATTCTTCAGTGTAATTGTGGAAAAGATCATCGTTCCTAAATCAATCTGAAAGCTGTCACTTTTTATTTTACAGTCTGTAGCACTGTTAAAGGACCACAGGGAAAGGCTAATGGTGAATGCTGACTTAAAAAAAAAGCAAACATATAGGTCTTGTCTGTCCAGATTGAAGGGCAATGCGACAGTGCACAGCAGGCTGAGTTAAGGAAAGTCACAGCCCAGTGTCTTCAAACTTAAGACACACAATGCGCCTAAGTCCACTGTTTCCTACCTGTAGAAAGTGAGGCAAGCAATAAAATTAAAACTGATTTCATTGCAAACAGAATCACAATAGAAATCTTTTAACATTAAGGTGCATGTTTTTAAAAAAATCCTCATTTCCTCATTAAAAATGAGTACAGTTGCTGTAATTTAGAAAAAATAAATTAAGTCACAAGAAACACTAGGGAATCCCCCTTCCACTATAATTAGAAACATCCTGTTCCTGTACCTCACCTACCCCAAATATCATACACATCAAATACACTATAGGCAAGCATAGGTTTGTTAGTTTACAAACACAAACATACCACATACATCCTCAAATACAATAAAATTCATTGGTAGAGAAAAGAAAAGGGGCTACAGGCATGCTAGAATGAGAAATGAACCAAGGGAGAGATGATGACAGTAAGAAGAGAAAGGCAAGCTCTGTGTCACAAGAAGGCGAAAAGGTAGAGCATCACAGGGCCTAGAATGAACACTCAGGTCTCGCCAAACATCTTGGCCAAAGTCCCCGAAGCAGGAGAACACTGTAGCTATAGCAACTGGACCTTCTCATTTGCTCCCAAAAGGAATGGTTAAATAACCACGCATGTCCCTCAAAGACGGGGAAGATGCTACCACAGTCCAGCAGAGGGACCACAAAGAACTTTCAAAAAGATCTACAGCTAAAATTCTCCTGCTTCTGAGACCATTCCAAACTGTTCATTCTAGAATACCAATGCCAGTTTACTTTTAGGAAATGTTTTCATGGGTAGCATGTAAAATATAAAGCCATGCTTGTGGGAAAATGTTGCAATGATACTGCGGTTTTCATAATAGTCTTCTTCCATACCAATCCTGAATATAAAATAAAGACAATCAGAATTAGCGTTCTATCTAAATAAGTTCAAATAATATTCTAAGTGCCATAAAGACTACAGCTAATACTTGCTTTTCCCTGCAAAAGGAAAACATAATCAGGCACAAATCCTCAGGCAGGATTAAACTACATGATGACATGATCCTAGGTCCACATCTACCACTAAGTGGCCTCAGTTTACCAGACACAGTATACTAACAAATGCTTCTTAGTAAGATAATATGTAGCACAGATCTTCCTGAACAGGGGTAAAGCTTTATAGAAAACTCTTCTTGAAATCAGAAACCCTGAGTTTCAACTCCCAACTCTGTCATTCATCAGATGCATAACGACTTGGCAAGTCAACTGAATGTTGCTTCTTTATGTATAAAAGTGAAGTTAGAGGGGCGCCTGGGTGGCTCAGTCGTTAAGCATCTGCCTTTGGCTCAGGTCATGGTCCCAGGGTCCTGGGATCGAGCCCCACTTTGGGCTCCCTGCTCAGCGGGAAGCCTGCTTCTCCCTCTCCCATTCCCCCTGTGTTCCCTCTCTCACTGCAACTCTGTCAAATAAATAAAATCTTAAAAAAAAAAAAAGTAAAGTTAGAAATACCTTAAGATTTGGGAGGATGCTAGAGTTGTTGTACAGTGTGCCTTGTAGATCACCAGATATTTTAGAAAAAGTTAACGAGAGATTTTCAGATAGGGCTCTTGATTTCCCAATCCAAATGTCTAAGACCTGGTGCCTAATCCAGGGCCTCTAGCTTTGAAACTTTCAACCCAACTCAATGGCCCTTGGGTCTATATGGTAAGGAAGGAAAAAAAAAAGAAATAGGGTTTTTCTTCCCCCCAGAATTAATATAGATGGTTGGGAGCTGCAGCCTGAGAAGATCCATGGAATTCTTGGAAGAAAAGAGCACAGAGGAGGCAGACATGGAACGAGAGTTTGTGGCAGAGCAGAATTACAGGGGCCACGGAAGTCCTTGACAGAGCAGGTTACTCCCACCTCTACTTTCTTTTTCACATTCAACCTTGGCACTAGTGACATCTTGGACTAAAAATTCTTTGTGGTGAGGCTCCTGGATGGTTAAGCATCCAACTTTTGATTTCAGTTCGGGTCATGATCTCAGGAGTCTTGGGATCAAATCCCATGTCAGGCTCCACACTGAGCATGGAGCCTGCTTGGGATTTTCTCTCTCCCTCTACATCTGCCCCTCCCCCCACTCATGCACACTCTCTTGCTCTCTCTCCAAACAAAAAACAAACAAAATCTTTGTTGTGAGGGGTCTGTCCTGCTTACTATTGGAGGAAGTTTATCTAGCGGCATCCCTGGCCTCTACCTACACTACATGCCAGTAGCAACCGCTCCCCCCTCCAATTGTGACAACCAAATATGTCTCCAGACACCAGCAAATGTGGGGGTGGGGAGGGGCAAATAGAACTGTCTCTGACTGAGAATCATAGCCTTATGGTATATGACTAGCTGATTGGTTCTTGAAGGGTCACAAATATGAACAGTGAAACCACATTACACGTAGAAGTGTCAGAAGATGAAAGTGTATCATTCTGTGCTAAAACATTACAAGAACTCTTTTCTTTTTCTTAAAGATTTTATTTATCCATTCGACAGAGAGAGAGCACAAGCAGGGGGAACGGCAGAGGAAGAGGGAGAAGCAGGCTCCCCGCTGAGCAAGGAGCCCAACCTGGGGCTTGATCCCAGGACCCCAGCAGGATCATGACCTGAGCCGAAGGCAGATGCCCAACCAAGCCACCCAGGTGCCCCTACAAGAACTCTTTTCTAAAGCCAGAAATTAAAAAAAAAAAAAAAAAAAGTTTTCTTAATCTGCTGGGGCTTGATCCCAGGACCCCAGCAGGATCATGACCTGAGCTGAAGGCAGATGCCCAACCAAGCCACCCAGGTGCCCCTACAAGAACTCTTTTCTAAAGCCAGAAATTAAAAAAAAAAAAAAAAAAAATGTTTTCTTAATCATGACTACAGAAATTGAAGACTAAAATTCTTGTCTACTCCGTGATTCTCAGAACAAAGTGGCAAACACAGGGGATGTTGGAACTGCCTATGCTAGACCACTCTCTACCTTCACTCTCTCCTCTGAATACTTCAGAGGTAGGACTTACATGAGAGACACAAACTCTTAAAAATGAGGACAGATACTAACAAATTTCTAGAAAAACAGGGATTTAGAAAATGACAGAATTTTCTCCTATTTAATTTCGGTTGAGAAGTGAGGAGAAATTTCCAATTCAAATATTTTAAAGGAGGCTTATGATACCCACTTTTAACTAAATAGGGGTATAATGCCTCCTCAGAACCTGTATTTCCTGTTTAAAGATTTTTTTAAGTAATCTCTACACCTAACGTTGGGCTCAAACTCATAATCCCGAGATCAAGAGTCGGCAGCTATACTGATTGAGCCAGCCAGGTGCCCTTGCATTTCCTGTTTAGATCAACAGTTAGAGAACTCTTTGGAGATGCTGAAAACTCAATGTCAATGTTTCCCTTGGCCCGGGCCTTTGCCAGTACAAACATTTCATATGACGACTGATGATATGAGCCAGAATCTACACTTTGAAGTCATGTAGTGAGGTAACCCAAAGGGAAAAAACTTGGGACAAAGAGGAGATTTAGCTAAAGTACACAAGCCCCTGATACAGCTGTGGCAATATGACTACACTGCTTTGAGAAAAAGGAACTGAAGCTGAAGCCAGACCCATCCCATCACTACCACAAACTCTCATTCTTCATCATAAAGCAGTAGAAAAGGAAATAGCACTCCATGGGACCTCTTATAAAGAAAGCAATCTGTGACATTACTCTGGGCATCAAGCCTGCTGAATTACCAAAATAAAGCTCGGGAAGTTGCTACTTAGGTAAAAGAAGGCTAAAAATAAGTGAGAGGCCCAACTCAGAAATGCCAGGGAATCCTCTTGAACTCTGAAAGCTTTCCCTGCGCCTCAGGATGAACGGAAGATTTAGAACTTATATGTGTAAAAGCGCATCACCTACCTACAAACAGCAATGGGTCAGATGATGTGGGGAGACAATGTACTGTCAAGTTCTCTATACCCAAATGGGCTGGATCAGAGCTGATTCAATGGTACCAGTTTAAAAAAATAAGACCCACCTTATATGTTACCTTGTATGTTGTATAAGTACATACATGTGCTTCTACACATACTCTATAACATATATTAGTTATATACTATAGGACTGTATGTTATAGCATGTAATTATACTTCAACATCCAAACACCAGGAAATGGGTTTTATTCATCTGTTTCTCTTCTTACTATGGAGCTTGAGTATCTTTCCAATAACACGCTACTAATGGATCCAGAAAATCAGAAGTCCTAAGCCGTGATTTCTATGAAGATATGCATGGTCTCTGAAAATTTTTCTGAAGAGAGACCTATGTTTGGAAAAGCCAAAAATCCACCCAAAAATTAAGGCACAGTAATTGCCGACAAGAGATCAGAAATAATTCCTCAAACTTTTGGCCTCTGAACTCTGACTCATGAACAATTCCCATTTCATAACTATGTTTACATGAATCCCATTTAGGTTCTAATGGGACTCATGAAAACCGTAAACACAGACACCAGAGGAAAATGGAAAACTCAACTCTCACCACTGAGAACAAGACCTTTATACACAGCGAAGATAAGGATTGGAATGGAAAAGAGACTTAATGAAATTTCTGAAGTCCTGAAAAGCCTGTAACAAATGTTTGCCAAGAATTTTCTAGGACTCCTTACAGGGAATGAAATGCCAGGCACAGGGAAAAAGGTTGAGGCAACACACAACAGAACACCACCCTACACAAGGCAGAGCACACAACTAAAAGAGCCTAAATACACGTGAAGAATTGAGAGTAAGTGCTGATTTCCAACCTGTGGTGGCTGTGTGGTGGTGAAGCGATATTCTCCTTGTTTGTCTCGATTGAACACAACTTTCCAAAGGACCATGTCAAGGAAGAAGTTCTGAGAGATATTCCAGTGAGTTAAGAATTAAAAATGACTAAGTCATTCTTTATTAATGTGCACATTTTAAAAGGCTCATACAATGCTGCATCATTAGTGAAAAACATGACTTGGTTTTCATATAGACAATTTCAGTTAATATTCGAAAAGGATAAGGATAACAACAGAACTTTTTTTTTATAAGAAAACTTTTGTAACAAATGTAAGTTACCATAAAATTCTTGATAAAATGGGACCCCTAAAATTTCCATAAAATATGGCTTTTATTTAAATCCTTGGGTCTTTCCCATAATTAAAATAATGCTTATAATCTGAGTCTTTTTTCTTAACAATGAATTATTTTCATTGAATTAACATATTAATTCTGTATCTATAAATGAGTATGACTTCATCAGAGTCCAACACAAATAATTCTTTTGATAGTAAGCAAGAATCGTAAATTAAGAGATTATGAGAGGATTCCCTAAAAATTGTTTTTCTTTAAATTTTATTTTAAATAACATTTATGTGAATAGATGAACTTATACTATAGAAAAAGGAAAGCTTTTTAAAATATAATATCTTGGATGTGCTTTCTAGTGTCCATTAAATAGCAAAAATACTTTCCACTGGGCAACTTAAAAAGATACTATGTTAATATCCACGCTGCCCACTATGACCAAATTTAAATACCAAGTCATCTTTTAGAAAGATAACAAATTAAGCACAATTTCCAAGTCGAGAACTATTATCACCAAAGTATACACATTTTCCCACAAATTACCTAGTTTGAATTCAAAAGCCTGCCCTATGAAGAAACCCTTCACTTAAAAATCACAACTGTATCTCCTTCTTCCATTTCATATATTGCTACTGTAGGAGTGAATCATAATAGTTCTGAGAACAGACAAAATTTTTTTAATAAGCAGCAAATGAGAAGTTACTAGCTCCTTTTATAGAAGTCAACTTAAAGGCAATCCTAATAGGAGAATAACTATATAATATACAATGGATCAAAGAGGACTTAAGACCTCCAGAGCAAACTCACAAGTAAATACCCAAGGAGGAAGTTCCAGTAATCAGTGCCATTAGGTTCACAGCGGTCATTATTTTATACTTTCAATAAACTGTTATTAAAATTTACTACATTTCATGGAGAAAGCCCCCTCCTTCCTTTCCTACCTTAAATGGGAGATTTTACTGTAAATCACAGGTCTCTGGTTGTACACACCCACTCTGATTTCATATCACTGGTTTACTAGTTTAAGGGCCACCTGAACACCAATCTTCTCCCCTTTCTACAGATCACTAATTTTTGCTATCTCACTGCTTATTTTCTCCTACCTATAAAAGTGCAGCTACATCATATCCCTTAATATGACAATTATCAGTTCATGGAAAAGGTCAGAAGACAGAGCTAAATCAATTTAACTAAAATGAGACTGAAACTCTTTGTGGGCTTCCATAATGTTACCTGTCCTCTTCCCCCAGGACTAATAAATCACCAAGAATCCCACAGCAGCAACATAGCCATTTGATTATCTGAAATGCTTACCTCCACCATGATAGATACAAGGGCATTGACAAGAACAATCATGAGCATAGTTACACGCCACTGATATGGTACACACACTATCTGTAAGACAAAAATTTTTAAGTTAAAATTGTAGTATGCAGTTGATATTACAGCATTATATCAAAATTTCAAAATTTACTGAATTCCTATTACATACCAAGCACCTTCACATACATTATCTACTCAATCCTTAACAATGCCACAAGGTATATCCACTTTTCAGAGGATAAAACTCAAAAGTGTAACTCACGGTTAAAAGAATAGGGTAAAGTGACTGAGCTTAGAGTCAAATCCTATTTACTCAGACTGAAAAGCCGATGCTTTCTACTAGTTCACGAATTTCTAACAATTTCCTATTTTTAAAATAAAATCCTGTCTTTAAACAATGAAGCAGATACTGATTAAATAATAAAGTATCATTCAAAACACTATATATTGTTACAAAGACAAATTCATAAAAGAACTATACAAATCAATTTAACAAATACAGCCTAAGTTTTCACTTTAAAATCTGGTTAATTTCTAAGATCTAAAAAAGAAAAAATCCCATTCATGCATTCACCTATTAGTCAACAAATATTTACTGAGTACCTAAAATACTGTGCTAGGTGCGGGTAAGTGATACGATCTTATATGTTTTAGAAAAACCACCTACGAGTCCAGCAAAAAAGATTTCAGGGGTGGAGACTGCTATAGTGATCAAGACAAGAAATGATGAAAGTCAAAACTAGTGATGGGGGCACAAAATAATAAATATTTATTTGGTCTCTGTCTGACACAGAGCTCTTAAAACTCTTGTAATTTCCTGAGTGATGGTGGCAACAGGAATGTCTAACCCAGAGCTTCTAAATCCCCCGGAATTTCCTGGGGATGTTTTTTATTCTAATGAGGCTACTCTTGGTGGGCTCCTTGATAGCTTCAGGATGGGGGCTGGCCACCAGAAAAACTAAGCCATGATTAGAAGCTTGGAGCTTTCAGCCCCACTCTCCCATCCTCCATGGAAGGGAGAGGGGCTGGAGACTGAGTTAATAATTGACCATGACACGATGAAGCCTCCATTAAAAAAAAAAAAATCCCTAAACTTCAGGGTTTAGAGAGCTTCTGGTTCGGCCAACACATCCATGTGCTGGGAGGGTAGTACATCCCATCTCCACAGGGACAGAAGCTCTTATGCTCAAGACCCTTCCAGACGTTGGACTATCTGCCTCTTCATCTAGCTGTACATCTGTACCTTTATTATAAACCACTAAATGTAAGTGTTAACCTGAGTTTTATAGCAAATTATCAAACCTGAGAAGGGAGTTCTGGGAACCCTGATTTATAACTAATTAGTGAGAAGTACAAGGGATGACCTGGGACTTGCAACCGGTATCTGAAGTTGGGGAGCACTCTTGTGGGACAGAGCCCTTAACTTGGAGGGTCTGTGCTAATTCCAGGTAGCTGGTATAAGAACCAAACTGTAAGATACCCAGTTGGTTCCCAGGGTTGGAGAACTGGTTGGTGTGGGGCACACATTTGGTGTTAAAAGTATTGTGAGTAGAGGAAACAATAGCTTCCCTCTAGCTGGCAAATGGAATGAAGCAAAGCTAAAATAGATTCAGAGTAAGGAAACGGAGAATCTAGCAACTGACTGACTATGCCAAGAAGACAAGGACACATATACACACTTCTGACTTGGATAAATAGTGGTACCAAAAAAACCAAGACAAAAGCAGGGTTGAGTGAAAACATGATGATAAGCTTAGCTATCAAGATGCTGAATGAGAGAACTGATAGGTGAACCATGCATATAATATTCAGTATGTCAGTGGATATTCAGTTTTAAGGCTCAGTTGTGAGATCTAGGCCAACACAGAAGATACTATGGGTGAAGCCGGCACTATACATGAGCCAGCTTCACCCAAATACACAGAGTAGCACGAGGGAGAAGAACAGAAATGTGTGGAACACTAACATTTAAGGAACAAGAGAGTCTGGAACCATCATGGAGAATAAGAACAAGGTGTCACAGAGGTAGGAAAAAATCAGAAGGGAGTACATTATCACAAAATTGTAGAGAGAGTCTCAAGAATGACTGCCTGGCTAACCTGTCAAATCCTAGTCGTCAAGTAAGGTTGGAAAAAAACTAAAAGGACAAGTCCACTGGATTTAAGAAGTTGTTAATGGCCTTGACCAGGGCAATTTCATTACACTGGCAGGGGTAGAAGCCAAACTATTTGATGAGTATGTGAGACGTGAATCGAATGTTGCACTCTTTCAAGAAATAATTTGGCTGTGAAGCAGAAGAGGCAGGAGAGAAACAAAAATGGGTTGTATTCTGTTTTCTTCTTTTGCTTAAAGTGCTTATCTAAATCCCTCCATGGGGAAACAGACACTCATATACACACTGCTGGTTAAGACTATAAATGGTCAACCTCTTCGAAGTTCAATAACACAGCTGCTTGTACCTGAGATAAACCAACCCTGAACATGGGAAAATACTAGAAACAATCTAATTATTTTCCAACAGAGAATGGAGAGATGAATGAAAGGATACTCCTATAATGGAATAGTATATAGTGGTGAAAATGAAATGTATGTATCAACAAGGATACATCTTAAAAATAATGCTAATGGGAAAAAGCAAGTCACAGAAAAATATAAACAGTAAGATACCACTGTCATACAGGTCAAAAGCAAGCAAAACTATCTCTATGGCTTCATACAGCATGGTAAGTGTATACTGAAAAGCAAGACAATGAAGCAAAAAATTAGAATAGTGGTTCCCTCAGAGTGTTTGGAGAAAGGTATGCTATAGTGCCTTACTGGTGTTGGTAATGTTGCCTTTTTTTTAGGTTGGATAATGAACTCCTGGGTGTTATTTTATTACTATTATGCTTAATAACTTAAATATGTGTGCATATTCTTCTACACAAAACAAGTATTTCATCATTCAAAAAGCTTTTAATGAAAAGATGAACTCAGTGGACAGTGAAGAAGAGGCAGTAGGTACAGACTATTCCAAGAAGTAGGTTGAGAAGGGACAGATCAATAACAGGGTCAAAGTTTTTTATTTCTAAAGACCAAGGAACATTTGTTTGTAGACAAGGAAATGGAACCAGAAGCAAAGACTGAAGAAACAGGAAAGAAACATAAAATACCAGGAGACTCAATAAAAGCTGCTGTTTCAATTGTGTTTTTTATTCTTTTTAGGGTATATTTGGGTTAATATAACTGCATCTTAGAAAATTCAGAAAGAAGAGATCCTGGGGGAAAAGACCTTGACAGCTGAATCTCTGTCCCCAGTACTATGAGAGCAAAGGAGGGGGTAGATCATAAGCCCTAGCAAACCTCCAGAAGTCCCATTTGGCTGTTTAAGTATCACATAATACTAACGTGTCATTTTTCTATTACTGTCTTACTACTGCTATCCTACTTATTATCACCCTCAGACAACCAGTAGTAATTGATGTGCTGAACCCTTACCTGAAGAACCTGGTCAATAGAGGCAACTGGATGCAACATGATGAGTAATATGAAAACATACAAAATAATCACAGACACAACAAAAAAATCTGAAAAAGAAAGTAAAACAATTAAATTAGAAGTTCCTTTAAATAAAAATGCATATAATACAACTGGCATACTGGCAATCTTAAATTTGGCTTTGAATCTATCTGTTTAGGTTGGTGAAGTATATAAAGTCTGTGTTTTATGTTATTTCCTAGAGTACGGTACATTATTTAGGCCCAAAGAATTCATTTATGTGATATAGAAATAATCAGCATTTATAAAAATAAGAGACCTTTATGGACATTTATTTCTATTTTTCCCAGATAGACAGCTACTTTGTAAGATAATCAAACCCATATATAATTCAAAGACAGGAGACTAGACTATGTAGAGCAAAATGAGATTATCATTTAAAACATGTATGCTCTAATTACTGTTGACTATAAAAGTACTGAATAACATTTATTCCCAGTATTTGGTATGTTATAATCCTAAATAGAAGCATTCTAATTTGATTATATTTCTGTTAAGTGAATCCCACTTTCTCAATGACTTCCTCTGTAAAAATATTTCCACAGAAAATGTTAGCTAAAACCCAGAAACTGAGCTGATTTACTATTTTAAACATGGGCTAACCCGCATGCTCCAGTAGCTAGGAATGGTAAATTCAATCCAGCAGTACTTTGCATTACTTTCCTAACTCAAAAATAAAACTCCCCGCTCATGGCCATTCTGTTAACTGTGTACATACATGCATACATTTGCACATATACAAGCATACTCTTATATAATGAGCCTTAAGGCTCAGACATTTCCCCATTATAATATCCCCCAATTTTTTTCCCTTTTTTCTTTGGCCTGGATATTTATTTACAAGTTATTTGAGGTCATCTTGAAACTTAAATTTTACTAATACCATGTAAAACCAAAATTTTATCATAAAGCCTTCAGATTGGGTAAAGAAGTTAATATCCTATTTTATGGACTGTAAAAGAGGGATCTCATATTTTTAAATATAGGAGTCGAGTCATTTATAAATATAAACACTGTTAGTATGTCAGTTCAAACCATAGGCCAATACTTACTGTCCTGTTAAAATAACATCATAATATATATTGCTTTATATATTTAATATACATATTTATTGTTCTAACACCTTAGGCTGGAAGTTGTATTAACATTCATGCCAAAGGGGGTAAATTTTATTATGAGTCATGACCAACAGGATGAAAAATTTGGGACCCATGTTAGATTTTTAAAAACTTGTTCTTCTTAAGACTTTTATTTTTTAAAACACACTACTAAACTGTAAACAGGAAATATAACATTCTGTTCAATAAATGTAGCAACCAAAGCAGTATGTAAGTTAATTCAAATAGTTATTGTGGTCAGTTAAAGAAAAAGTGTTTAGAAAGTGCTAGTTGGAAGTACAGAAACACACAAAAGACAAAATCAGAAAAAGGACAAGAAGAAATGGTCAGAATACAAAAGCCAGAGAATACAAAAGCCAGAGAATACAAATGCCAGAATACAAATAGAGAGACATGGAGACAGAAAAAGTTATTTCAAAATAGTAATAGCCCACATTGAATGTTTTCCAAATCTTACTGCATTTTTACAGCTATAAGCAAATCAGATTTGCAATCTAGTTCCTGACATGTTGCCAGAAAACTTTTTACTCAGGCTCACAAACTTCTTACATGGACCTCAACAGTGTTTCTCAAATTTTCCCGTCTTTCTCCTAGAGCCACTTCCTTTGATCACACCTCCAAAAACCTGCCAAGATTTCCACGTGAGGCAGAAAAGTAATTAAATAAGTAATTAAAACTCTCCTTTGTTTAGCCAGGGGAGAAAAAGAGGAGCTATTCAAAGGAGTCTGACAGGGACTGTGCATGGCTGGCAGATGTATATAACCACTGAAATGAAAAGATCAGTAGAGAAACGAAGAATGGGAAAATCAGGTATTCATTTTCTTTCTTTCTTTTTTTTTTTTAAGATTTTATTTGAGAGAGAGAGAATGAGAGACAGAGAGCACAAGACAGAAGAGGGTCAGAGGGAGAAGCAGACTCCCCGCCGAGCAGGGAGCCCGATGCGGGACTCGATCCCGGGACTCCAGGATCATGACCTGAGCCGAAGGCAGTCGCTCAACCAACTGAGCCACCCAGGCGCCCTCAGGTATTCATTTTCGAAAGCTATGGAGTTTCTAGTAGACTGTGCTCTCCACTCCTAGACTGTCCTAGCAATGCTACTGAAGAACAAGTAATACTCTCCACCAGAAGACAGCAATCAAAACAAATTCTGTGTTGGTGGTGATTGGAGACCAGGGGAGAATGTTCCTGAAGTTAAAAATTTATATTCTACCACAAAGCTATGTGAACATGAACAAGTCCTTAGGAGTCAAGGTATTTTAACTAATAAGATGGGGATATGATGAGGATACCATACAAAAGAGCAGACTTGGTCCTTAAAATGCAAAGTATTGGTAAATTCAAGTTATTATTAAATATGTCCCAGCTTATGGTATCACAGATTTGTTAATGATACCAGATGGTTTTGATGGAATATGGCATCAAAACCAGGCACCAGAAAGGATTTCCTTTATATTCCCCTTAGTATGTGACTCAAAAATAAAACCTTACATAGGATAAATAAACCTACAATACTCGTTCATGATTTTGATATATACTTCTCTTGCTGTTCCTTTCTCAAAAATATGAACTGGGGTTTTCTGACCTATAACCACAAGTTTCAAATCTTTGTATTCCTAACCCAACTTCCTAACTCAGTTTCTTATCTTTGAAAGGCCACCTTATCCTGTAGGGCCTCTAGGTTATCTGTTCCAACCAATTCAGGCATGGCAGGGGAACACGAAAAAATGCACAGACCCTGTAGATGAGGAGATACTGGCAGTTCAGTAGTGGTATCTTCACAGCCGGAGAAAGGACTTGGATGTCACACGCACAAAGTTATAGGAGGCAAGTAAGAAAGTGTAGCAAAAACCAAAGCCAAATCCCAAGAGATCACATCTAGTTAAATGACAGTGTAAGAACTGAGTCCATATCATCATGGGCCTTGAAATGATAGCATGGTCAAAGAAGAAAATAGAACTGGACTAAAAGCTAAAGCTGAAAGTGGGTCACCGCACACTGAAATTCAGTTTGATTCAGAATCCAACCAGTAGAAGAGAACAAAAACATTCTGACGAGAATGCCTGAAATGCCTAAGAATGAGATTAATTTTTAAAGACAATAATCTCAAGATAGGTTTAATACATTTCACTGTTTAGATACAGAGAACAGCAACCAGCAAGTCCTAACAAAGAACTGCTGTCAATTCTAAAGGAGAAAATGAAAAGCTATTTGTCAGCTCTAGTAAAGCCTTAACCTTTCCCCATTCATTCCCAGCTTTATTTATACTTTATACTGTATATTACTTTATACAGTTAGACTTTATTTCTGTCATTTTTTTTCTACCTTTCTTTATTCATCAGTTACTCCAAGATTAAGGGGCTCCAATGACAGACCAAGAGACAAGATATGAAAATTAGCAAAATACGTTTATGTTGTGTTTAGTGTTCCTGTTTTATTTTTCAGGAGGCATGTTTTAAGACAGCGTGCACTTCTGTTTATCCGACAACAAACACACACAAGCTGCTTATATGCAGGACAAAGGTTTTGTGGCTATATATTCGCTAAAACAATTTTTTATACTACGTTTAAAAAAAAATAGTCCAGTGATCAAAAACTGAGTTTATTATTTATTCAAGTCAATTTGAAATTAAATGCAAATACAAAGTATCTTAATACAAAATTAAATGGGAATACAAAGCCTTTAATATTTTTTGAAGTTTTCCAAATAATACCAAATATACATTTTAAAAACAGGCAATTAATAATCTCTTTTTTTAACTGGAGAAGCATGGATAGGGTAGATTTACTTAGATCTCTAAAATTAACTTTACTGACACGGCTGTCTTGCTTATCAAACAGTCTGAACACCAGTTTTCTTATATAAAGAAAGCATTATTCTCTGACAGATGTTTTAGCTACCCTTGGGCATGCTAAATATTTTCTTGAAATTTAAAAATACGGAACTAAAACTAAAACATGTATGTCAACTTTAATTAACTTTAGTTATGAAGTACTCTTAGAAGTGACTGACCTTCTATGGAAGGCTTTTTGTCCCAAAGCATGCTTCCAATATGGCTCTCAGTAATACAGTTTCTACTTGTTAGATAATATCAGGTTTTTGGTTTTGTTTTGTTTTTTTCCCAACATCTATTTTTTTGGAGGGGGAGGGAAAGAGGGAGAGAGAGAATCCTAAGCACACTCCACGCTCCGCGGAGACTGATGTGGGGCTCGAGCCCATGACCCTGAGATCACAACCCAAGCTGAAACCAAGAGTCAGAGGCTCAACCAACTGCACCACCCAGGCTCCCCAATATGAGGTGTTTTTTTTAAAAAGAAAAAAGGAAAAACAGATTTCAGTATTATTGATACTTGTACAGTCTTACCTGTCCAAAATAGAAAGTAATAAAATGTGACCTACAAACCAGGTAGTGTAGAATAAATAAATGTGAAAATGCTTTGTAAACTCAACTACTATTCATTCTAAGATACTGCAAACATCGAAAGTTCTTTATGAAAATAATTAAGTTATCCCACATATTAATTAGTATATTCTCAATTTTTTTTAAATTAGCAATTTATATATAGTAACTGATTTTTTCCCGTAAACCCTAATTTTGATCAATCAAGATGCTATCTCCTACTGCCATAGTTCGTTGAGTTGACATAGGCACAAGACTCCATTCTACTGACCCTTTCAGCAGTGGATGCAAAGGTGACACAAAGAATTCCAGGTGAATAATGTCTGTACCAGTGTCAAAAATGATGAAAAAGACAGCTGGCACTGTGCAGACCACCCAGAAGCAAAGTATAATACCCACTGTTCCAACTGAAGAACCTCTGTTCCTATTTCTAATTCTAACTCTGCAATGGGCTGTAAAAATAAAAGCTGGAGCCAGAAGCAAAAGGATGTGAAAACCAAGAATGTTTAGAACTGGTGGCTTCAATTTTCAACTTTAGAGTGGCAGCTACCACGAAAACAAAACAAGACTGTAAACATCTAAATCACTAGGCTCATTCTATTTGTGAAGACTTATTTCACTTTGAAAGAACAGTTTTAACTCTACTCTTCTTACATTATTTTTAAAGAAAGGAAGCAGGATAAAAATCACAAATGCCAAACTTACAATTCTTGTAGCAAGGCTGCCTGAAGGGTTTTCCTTTTGAAAAGGCAATTGCCACTATGAGGTACTGAAAACTGGAGATAAAAAACACTGTGGTATTTTCATAATTTTGTATATTATGTGTATCAAGATTGGTTTCATTGTACAAATGTGAAGAATTCCAATATAGGCTTCTTGTTGTATTACAAGCACTAGAACACAAAACATTTTTACATTACTAAATACAATACTCATTTCCCAAAAGAAACCAATTTTACCTTAACTGTCTTGAATCACTTTCATTAACAGAAATAAGGTTTTTATAGGAAAAGATCCAACAATATCAAGGTAAAATATATAGAACAGCCAATAGAGTGTTGAGGGTCTCTTCTCCTTAGTCACATTCCAATCAGTTAAAAAAACTAGAAGAAACTTCATATTTAACAAGGCCCTCTTACTTTTTAAACTTGGGGATGAAAGTAGAGGCGCCTGGGTGGCTCAGTCGTTAAGTGTCTGCCTTCGGCTCAGGTCATGATCCCAAGGTCCTGGGATCAAGCCCCGCATCAGGATCCCTGCTCAGCAGGAAACATGCTTCTCCCTCTCCCACTCCCCCTGCTTTGTGTTCTATCTCTCGCTGTCTCTTTGTCAAATAAATAAAATCTTAAAAAAAAAAAAAAAAACTAATATAACACTGTATGTTGACTATACGGGAATTAAAATTAAAAAAAAAGAAACCAAATTTTGGGAGTAATTTTAACATAGTAAATGTTCACAGACCTTAGGTTTGACCTTAGCTCTACCACCTTTTAGCTTAACTGAGGAAATATTAAATTTGAGCTCCCATTTCCTGGCGTGTAAGGGTGGATACTACCTGCACCATCACAGGGTTTCTGAGGGGAATGAGCAAGATGACTCATGGAAATGCCTAGCAAAGCACTTAGCACTGAGATGACCCTCAGTATTCTCTGGCTGTGGTGCTCTCTCAGCTCTACTTCCAGGTGGGCAGGACTGTCAAACATATATCACACCCATTACTAAAACATTAACTACATAAGCACAGGCAAGTACTAACAAAATGTTAATCTGCTACAAATGAATTCTGGAAAGCTTCTCCAGAACAATTCCATCTATTTCTTTGCATGTGCAGTGTTTATATGTACATATAGGCAAACATTAATGTTAAATTTCTCAAAGTTTCCTAAAACTTTTCAAGACAACTTTTGCTCCCTTCATCAAGCAAACTATAAATTAATGTTTGCATCTAAAAATATAATTCTACAAAATTACCTCGGTGAATAGCTTACATGTGTTTTTGCGGTTTGTTGGTGGTGGTTTTTTTTTTAATTTAAGTAGGCTCCACACCCAACGTGGAGCCCACTATGGGGCTTGAATTTGCATTGCGACCCTGGTATCAAGACCTAAGCTGAGCTCAAGAGTCAGTTGCTTAACTGACTGAGCCACCCAGGCACCCCGGCTTACATGTTTAATTAATTAAACTAATGTTATCATAATTTGTGACTGATAGCACACTCTACCCATAAATAAGAGAAGTACTTAGTGCTTTTTTACAAGTTTTTTTAGGTTTTAAAATGTCATTTCCTAAATTTGGGGTAGAAAATTTAGACACACAAACATTCTGGGTTTAGAAGAAACTATTGATTAATTTCAACTTTCTCGTTTTACAGATAAAGAAAGCAAGGCTCAGTAGCTAATTAAGAAACTGGTCCGATATCATTACTACCTTGGTAATGATTATGAGGACCTTGCCTAACCATCTTTTCTAAAAATAAAAGGAGTTACCATGATATAAAGTCAAATATAGGCCAAATAATTTTAATTGTTTAATCAAGCTGCCTGCAAACTTTTATATAAATTCTAAAACTTATTTTTACTATGTATGTATGTTACACACATTTCACACAGATTTTTTAAATGTATTGACCAACTTACTCTGACTGTGGCTGCCATACTTCATACCAAGTTTGCTGCTTGACCCAAAAAAAACCCAAAGATTGAAATCCAATGCAGATGATGATCTGAGACAAAACGGAGAAGAGAAGGGCCCCAGATATAAGACCTGAAGGTGGTCTTTGTGCCACGAGTTCCTTCCAGGCAGGATTTAAACTCACTATATTGAGGAGAAAAAGAGAAGTTTTTATCTGAATTGGTTGCTATAAAATACATAATCAGATTCCTTTAGGAACTTAAATTCATTTTTGTCTAACAAATCTTTAATACGAAAAATGTCCAAAACCCAAGCCAGATGTCATACATATTTAAGTCATCTGTAAAAGTAAACAATTTAGGCTTTTTCAAAAGTGCCCCACAAGTACTTTTACATTAGCCTGCTGAATTTCAGAGAAATACTAGTATAAGCAAAAAGAATACTAAACATAAACATATAAACTATAACATTAATTACCATCCTTATATGTTTAACTAAGTTGTCTGATTCTTTAATTGAAAAGCTATTGTAAAAATACATATTTCTCCCTCTTATGAAGACAGTAACACACACAAAAAAAGAAGACATTAACAAAGGTTGAAAGCTATATAAACAGTAACCAAAAAAGGCCTTGATCACTTATTAAAGGTGATATTCACACCAAGTTTCTCTACTATAACATTTCTGCTTTTCTCTTTGTAATTAATTTGTAAAAAGATATGTAAAAAACCTGTTCTTCATTAAACTTTCACTTGCTCGTTTTAGTATCCCCTAATGATTGTCTAACTCACTGGTTCTCAACCAACATGATTTTGCCCTGTAGAGAATATCTGGCAATGTCTGGAGATATTTTTGGTTGTCAAAACGGGGAGTGTTACTGGCATCTAGCAGGTAGAGACCAAAGATGCTGATAAGCATCCTCTAGTGCACAGAAAAGAAGTATCTGGCTTAAAAGGTCAATCAGATCAGAGTCTTTCCATGGTCTATATCCATCACTCCTTCTATATTTTTTAGTTTGCACTTTACTCTAAGGAAGAGCTTTCTCTTCTCTCCCTACTTATTTCTAATATGGACTTGTGAATTTTTATTTGATTAAACGGGTCATATCCCATTACATCATTATTTATTTTAATATAATCACCAAGACCAAAATAAACCAGTATCTTCTGTCTCCTCATATGCTCTACCTAGGACACGGTATCACTTCTGCCATATTCCTGTCAAGAATTCACAGCCTGAGTCTAATGAGACTACATCAGACCAGAAAAATTCATATAACTGGTTTCTCTTCTTTCATAAATGTCAACATCAAGATGCCCCCCAAAGAGGCTGATGTAATATTCTGGATTTCAAAAGACTAAAGTGGGATGCCTGGGTGGCTCAGCTGGTTAGGCATCTGCCTTCAGCTGAGGTCATGATCCCAGGATCCTGGGATGGAGCCCTGCATTGGGCTCTCTGCTCAGTGGGAGAAAAAGATGAAGAAAGAACAGTAAAACAACTAGGGCAAATAAAAACAACTAGTAGTAGAAGAATGCATTTACAGGGAATCTGAAGAAGTATGCACTGTGTTATAATTATTGATATAAATTTACCAAAGTTTAATGAGTTACATCAGAATTTCATATGCTTTTAAATCAATAATAAAAGCGATTTACTCACTTGTAAACACCACTACCAAAATGATTGCCAGATCAATGAAGAGAAACTGGAAGTCTCCTAGGTTACTTAAGATCTACAGAAGTAATTTTTAAAACATAATTAGTTTTCAGAAATTGTTTTTGTATCTTTTCCCCTGGTTATGGATTTTTCCTCCTTGGTTTTAGTCTCCCCATTCCACCCCCCCACCAATAATGACAACTTTCAAGTGACATTTGGACCTGCTTAAAAATTAAAATACATTTGCCTTTCATATCAGTGAAATATATATTTGCAAAGATACAACTGATTAATATAAAAGGCATCTCCTAAAAATTCATTCAATAAAAATCTTTTAATTTTTTTCACAAAAAGAAAACACAAGCTTTTACTCATAATTTTCAACACTCTTGGAAATTAGTATCTCAAAGCTTCCTAACACCATCCTTTCCTGATCCTTTTTACAAATGGTAGAAAAGGGACAGTTTCATAAAAACTCCCTGGGATGTCACTACTGTTTTGAGAAAATTCTAAAGTGAGATCACTTCAATTATAAAATCTGATGGAGTACCCATGGACCCACTGTTTACACTTACTCTCCAAATGCATAAAGTCCTACAACCTACAGCTGAAACATCTTTCTCGTTCTGGCTTTTTTCTGTAAATGTATAGCAGAGTTACCTACAAATGTGAAATATGTCACAGCTTGACATTTTGAAGAGTTCTAAGAAAGATGCCCAATTTGCACTAAAGGCAAAAAAGAGAATACAATCATCTTCTATTCACAAGGCTTTAGCCACAGTTGTCAGCCTTAAAGAAAAATGCTATTCCAGATTAATAAGATTTTCAATCTGCTACTCAAAATATAATAAACTAAAGGAAAATTTATAGAAGCTAGTTACATAAGTTCCATAATTAGTGGATGCATACATACTCAATTTTTTGGTTTAAATGCCTTAACAAAAGCACCATCTCTATAAGTAATGTCGGTACTTACGGAATATAACAGAGTAACACTGAAGTACTGTATAATGCTGTACAAAGCCATAAATTTAAACACACAAAAAGAAGTCATTAAAGCAGCACGGCCTTCCCTGTGAAAACAAATGTTGGCATGTGAATAAAAGCATTTTGAACTGCTCTTCCAAATCACAATTATATCTTGACAGATGAACATCAACATTCAACAGCTACGACAAAGCACTTTTCTACCAAAAGAACTAAACCAAAGCAGAACTAAAAGAGATGAAGAGAGCAACCTGTTGCTAATGAAGTTAGAGATCGAATATACTATCATTACAACAAATTCATACTGATTTCTATGATAATTTTTTTCTATGTTACTAGAGCACGCCATGAAGAGATAATGGGAACATTTTCAATCTGTGCTACCTGATAAGGTTTGGCACACAGGAAATACTAGGAGTTTTGGAGGTAAAGGGAGATGCCACCGAAGCCTCAAGCTCTGATAACGAAATGCCTCCATGTGCCCTCTTCAAAGCCTAATGGTTTGAAGAAGAAAAGAGATTAAGTTTTGTAAATGTGACTTAGGCAAAGAAAGAACTATAAATCACAAAAACCATACTTACACCACAATCATTTGCACCATCACCGCACATCCCAACGAAGTAACTGAGAAACAAAAATTACATTAAGATTTTGATTACTTCTTAAAAACAAACATTTAACTTAAGATTTCTCCAATATGTTATTATGAAGAGCTAACAGACTGAGACCTGCCCACTGGAACTAATGAATCTTTTTATCACAAGGACCACAGGCGTGTTGCTCTGCAAACAGCACCAGCTTGCAAGTCAAATGACCTAGGTTATTGTCCCATTTCTGTCACAAGCTGGGCAAGTCAGTTTATCATCTGGTATTTCAATTTCCTAATCTTTAGAGCAAAGGTCCTGGGCCTGTACAGTCTTTAATACAAAAACTATGAAGTCACTTGTACAAGCTGAGTAAATGAACTCTATCTTACAGATATTACCTGGAAGAGGAATTGTGGATATTGTACTTTAGCTAAATAAATGAGCACATGAGCCTCTTTTAAAAAGGCACTTTAGAGTTCTCACCTATCTGAGAGGTGGAAATTCTATATACATGAAATATTAGTTACCTTTCTGGTTTTGAAAATGAAATTAAAATCCATAAAAATAAAAAAACCAATACTTACTCCACATTTTGCAATGCTTCTATTAATTGTGTCTTCTGATCAGGTGCCATACGAGCAAACACAGTGCCATGCAACATCAACTGGAAAAAATATGAATTTAAAATATTGTTCGCAATATATTCATGTGAACATACACATACATAAGCCCAAGTCACTAACCTTAGGAGCAAGGTCTTGAAAATGTTCTAATATCACTGAAAATGATTTTCCATTCATTGCAAAATGGTAACGAGTCACCTGAAGATCCTCTAAGCTATCATGAACCAGTTTAATTGGAATAGCCTGTGTATGAGACATTCAAAACAATATTTAGGAAGCCAGAACAAGTAATACAATCCTATTTTAAATATATTTGATCTGGGGCGCCTGGGTGCCTAGTTGGCTAAGCATCTGCCTTCGGCTCAGATCATAATCCCAGGGTCCTGGGATCAAGCCCCCTATCCAGCTCCCTGCTCAGCAGGAGAACCTGCTTCTCTCTCTCCCTCTGCCTGCTATTCCCCCTGCTTGTACTCTCTCTGTCAAATAAATAAATAAAATATTTAAATATATATATATATGTATTTGATCTAAAACTAAATGCTTTCATTTGATATTTTACATGAAACAATGAAAGTTTAACATTTATTAAAAGTACAAGGAATTCAGTTTTAAGGTAATCTACCTATAGTCGTTATTTAAAAAAAAAAAACAAAGGCTAAATATCAGCTTCAGTTTGAAATAATGCATGGACTAAATACTATGGACTATCTGCATCCTTTATCATTACTTTCAAAATAGGATAGAGGCACCTGGGTGGCTCAGTCTGTTAAGCGGTCACTCTTGGTTTCGGCTCAGGTCGTGATCTCATGGGTTGTGGGATCAAACCCCGCGTCAGGTTCCTAGCTCAGCAGGGAGTCTGCTTGGGGATTCTCTCCCTCTGCCCCTCCCCCCATTCTCGCACACTCTCTCTCCTCTCTCAAATAAATAAATCTTTTTAAACAATTAAAATAGGATAAATATCTGGGATTCTCATACTTTAAAATGGTTCTTCTCAGCTTTGACTAAATATCACAATTTGAGGTACCTGGATCTTACCTAGTCCTAATGAATCAATCTCTGAGATGACCCAGGCATCTGTTTTCATTTATTTTCTGTTGTGTTGTGCTATTTAATGCATCCACCACCTTTTATTTTTTCAGACTAAATTCAAACAAGCAAGCTTCAAAAGGGAAAATTGTTCTTGACATTACCTCTGAGTCAATTGCTGATGAATTACTGCACTGTGTTAGGGTGTCTGCATAATGCCAATTTATCTTGGCAACTTTCCCATCCTTCGGAGGTAATGCTTCAGCAATAATAACTTTATCCTGAGGTAGTATCATTCCACAGTCTCTGGCTACAGAAACAGCAGTCAACATATTGTCACCTATTTTCAAAATATTGAAAATACATTACAATTAAAATGGAAACATAAATGTATTCAACAATGAATACTTATCAAGAATATCTATTACCCCATGACTGGGCTTGGCAAAATGAAGATAATGTACAGTATTGCTCTTGTATCTTACTACAAAAATCAAAACATACTTTTCAAAGGAAGCCTCAAATAATTCAAGCACACATAGGCTGAACAGTCAGACCCTTCTCAACTATAATTTTTAAAGCCAGATACATTGTGAATCTCTTTCAGTTATGCACTAGTAATACCCATCGACACCTGGCACAGTGCTACATACACACAAAATAGGTGCTCAAAAAATATTTGTTGAAATAACTTAGAAGTGACTGGTGGTCTGTACAAGAATACCTAGTATCAAAGGAAAAAAGGACCGGATTACAAAAGCAAAACGATAAGCAAGGTAACAAGAATACAATCTTTACAAGATATGAAGAGAAAACAGACATCCTCTCAGTCATGAGGAGGAGAGAAATGAAAAGAAGCCCTGTAAGGACAGGATCAAGAAAATATAAACATATGAGAGACAGACAAAGGTCTGGGAAGTCCACCACTGCCAGAACTGAAGGGCAATAGGATTTTCTTCCCCCAATTCCCACACACTATTTCCAGCAGTGTTGTCCTGTGACCAGACAGACCCCCATGGGACACAGGCCACAGTCTGTCATGGCAGGGAAAGAGAGGGAAGAGACAGAGATGGAAAATGCTTCGAAAGAGGAATCATTAGAACCAAGGAATTGCTGGGATGCTAATACATTTCTTTACTTGCGCTACATAGTGGTTAAGTATGCTATTAGATGGATCTCAGAGTCTGAAACAAAAAAAATGTCAATTGCCTTTTCCATATAAGTCTTAGTGAACACAGAAGAGCCATAAAATGATTATCTTAATTCTGATTATTTACTAAGAAAAAAATACTTAGAGCTGCCATAATTTCACACTAAGGAATGGGAATTATCTAATATCAACAATAACACCAGGAGAATCATTTGGATATAGTCGTCAGAAATCAAAAACCAATCAAACAATGGCTATTTTCACTAGTATGCATTCAGGCAATGATAATAAACATACTCTTACACATAAAAGTGTAATTCTAACAAATATCTATTAATCATTTTCCATGCATCTGGCACAGTTCTAAAAATTGCAGAAGACCCCAAAATGAACATTCTCTTAACCCTCTAGAATCTTATGCTTTAGTAGAAAAAACAAATCTACAAATAGCTTACACAAAATAACTGCTATAAAAAATGTATGATTAAAGAGGGGCAACAAAAAGGAGCAAAATCTAAATTTTTAGAATATACTCTTCACCATTTTACTGTTTCTATAAACAGAATTTGCTAGACCTTAAGAGAGTATTGCAAAGTTATCTTATACCTTTAAAAAACTTTTTGAGTTGAAATGGGGCAAGGCAGGAAGGAGCCACTATATGCTTTTACAACTAACTGATCATTCCACAATATCCTATAACCTGAACTCTTTTAAGAGTCACATTCAACTTTTCCTGTGTCCTTTTATAAAGTCTAACCTGTGACCATGACAGTGCGAATGTTGGCTTTATGCAAATCTTCAAGTACTGCAGGGGTTTCTTGCTTTAATTTGTTCTGCATTACAATTAATCCCATAAAATCCATGTTGTTTTCAATGACATCTCTGCAGAAAAAGATATTTTAACACATAATGGTTTAGTCCAGAGAACAGATACGATTCTCTTTATATTAATAAAGCCATTACAAATTGAAACATTTTATATGCTGAATAAGCCATAAATGTGTGTGTTCAATAACTCAAAAAATTTATATCTGGAAAAATAATTCCCAAGAGGTATATTTTGAAATAAAACTTTACCCTCTGAAATGTGAGAAATAAGGTTAATTTGGAAATGTTATTTTTGTAAGACACTAAACACCTGTAGTACTAAAGAATGTTCATCTTGTATTCTACCCACAAAATGAATAAGCATAAATGAATCTATGCTTTAATATCCCCCCATACAATATACCCTAATATAAATGTTAAGAGAAAAGGGAAAAACTTGACAATAAGCACATTCAATACAGTTATACTGGATTATCAAGCCTTTGATGAATTTTAGAAGACGATCAAATTTTTTTTAAAGATTTTATTTATTTGAGAGAGACAGAGAGTGAGATAGCACAAGAAGGGGGAGGGTCAGAGGGAGAAGCAGACTCTCCGCTGAGTGGGGAGCCCAATATGGGGCTCAATCCTGGGACTCCAGCATCATGACCTGAGCCAAAGGCAGATGCTTAACTGATGAGCCACCCAGGCGTCCCCAGACTCTTGATCAAATTCTTGATCCTGGAAGTGTGATACAAAAACTATTTAGCAGTCTGAAAATGAGATCTACATGGGTCCCAGAGATGGGGCTCTTACAGTATTAATATTGGGGTACCTGGGTGGCTCAGTCATTAAGCATCTGCCTTCAGCTTAGGTCATGATCCCAGAGTCCTGGGATGAAGCCCTGCTTCAGGGTCCCCGCCCAGCAAGGAGCCTGCTTCTCCCTCACCCTCTGCCTGCCGGTCCTCCTACTTATGTTCGCTCTCTGTCAAATAAATAAATAAAATCTTTAAAAAACAAATTTCCTTTAAAAAAATGCTTATTAATATTCAACAGTTATCAAGATGCTATTCCTTCAAAAGCTGAGTATCTACTCTGCACCGAGTAGTACTACTAGTCACTGGGAGGTCAAAGCTGAAAACGTATGATCTCTACCCTTAAGGAGCTTTTGTGGGAAAACAGACATACCAACAAAGAGATACATGCAGGGGCATGTGAGTGGCTCAGTTGGTTGAGCATCCGACTCTTTACTTTGGCTCTAGTCATTATCTTAGGGTTGTGAGATCGAGTCCCACACTTGTTCGGAATCTGCTTGAGATTCTCTCCCTCTGCCCCTACTCCCTCTCACTCTCTCTCAAATAAATAAATAAATAAATAATCTTTTAAGAGAGAGAGAGATGTGCATGCAAAAACAACATGTGCTTCAGCATCATCATGGAGACGGTTGCTTTCTCTTTTTTTAAGATTTTATTTATTTATTTGACAGAGACACAGCGAGAGAGGGAACACAAGCGGGGGTGGGTGGGAGAGGGAGAAGCAGGCTTCCCGCTGAGCAGGGAGCCCGATGCAGGGCTCGATCCCAGGACCCTGGGACCATGACCCGAGCAGAAGGCAGACCCTTAATGACTTAGCCACCCAGGCACCCCGGAGATGGTTGCATTCTTAAGAAATCTCAAGCTACCAAAATTATATCACAGATTTTTTTTTCTTTTTTTTTTTAAAGTAGGCTCCACACTCAGCAAGGAGCCCAATATGAGGCTTGAACTCATGACCCAGAGACCAAGACCTCAACTGAGATCAAGAGTTGGACATTTAACCAACTTGAGCCACCCAGGCACCCCAGAAATATTTTTTTTTCAATGGAGAAAGAAGACTTGAGGGTAGGGACCAAAATTCCAAACTTGAAATAACAAGTGGTTTGTTGACATAAAATTCAATAAAGGCACTTTAAGTACATAGCTCTAAAACCTAAACAATCTTTGAAATATAATTTATAACTATGGGCGGTAATGTATTAAAGAACAGTTAGGAAACAATACAAATGACACTGCTCGTGGTGATAGGAGAAATAAGCCTTTAAGTCTGAAAATGCATTTCAAGGAACAAAGCGGTACCAATGTGAAACTCTGGGGTCCAAGCACTGTTGCCGTTTTTCCATGACCTGCTAGTTTCTGGCTGCTAATGGTTTCCTAACTTTCCAATGAATGACAGAGGTCATGGAAATTTTGTCCCCTAATGAATGAACAATACAATAGTCAACGCAAGATATAAAGGTTCAAGCTGTAAGAGAAATGCCAAAACCTGCCCCTATGAGATAGAATGGAAAGACAGTGAAGGTCTTGGTTTAAGGATGCCATGGAAGGAAGGTAGAGAAAAAGAGAAAAGTTGACAGGGATAGATATTCTGGGCAGAAGGAATAACCTATTCAAGGGCACAGAAGGATGTCTGAATAGGACAGGCTCAAGAACTACAGACAAATCAGTAGTTAGTCTTTAAGGGAAAAATGGCAAAAGGTGAAGCTCTAGAGAAAGAAGCTAATGTGCCCTTCACAAAAATTAGAACACAGTATTTTACATGCATACCTCCCAACCATGCATATCCATCACATCATCTGGCTACTGCTTTTCTTTTTTTTTTTTTTTTGAAACGTTCATACTTAAACCACATCCCCCAAACATTCTGTGTGAATAGGCAGAATTCCTAACATAGCTCTTCCTTTTAGTTATTTGGCTGGCTATCCACTCCACTCCTTTAGTTCTCATTCAGAAAAACAGGATTGTACTATAAACACTGCCCTAACTCTTTACACTTAGGTATCTCCCACTTTTCAAAAGCTTGCATTAGGCCACTTCACTTTTATGAAAGACCTACATTAGTACTTGTTTTCACTAACCCAAGGAAATCTGAAGACTTTTCACTCATTAAGAAAAAAAAGCAAAAGGCAAAAACAGCATTCAGCATTTGTTTTGCAGTGAGCCATTTCAGAAGCAGTGCACTCCCAAGCAGTGAGAGTGGCACTCCCAAGCTCCTTCCCTGGGGATTACAATCAGCATCTCAGCGTCAAGCCACATAGGTCTGAACTGTGTCTGTGAGCATCTTGCTCCATCTTGATTTATTTTGTGCCTGCATTAGTAAGATGTGTCCTAAGGTATCATAGCTTAAGGGAGATTATTTCTGGGGTCTGGAAACACTCAGAATTTTTTCTAAATAAATTAAATGGTAATTGTTTCTTCACTTTAAGCCCTTCTGGCTTACGAACAGCTTCACAGGAACACTCTACTTTTGCATAGTGGGAAAAGCTGTAATTCTAAAAGAAGTGTTAATAATCCATAATTTAGCCACTGCCCTATTGGTTATACTATTGACACTATTTAAATCTGACCTTATGCACATGTAGAAATAGCTCTTCAAGCTGGATTCCTAGAACTGCACTTGCTGGGTCAAACCACATAAGCAATTTAAATTTTGATAGGTATTACAAATGTTCATTATGAATCTACAATAGTATAGTAACAGTATGTTGTTAAAATTTTCTCAAGCCTTCACTAACACTTGATATTATCAATCTTTTTAATTTCACCAACCTCAGGAGAGAAGTGATGTCTCACTGTGGTTTTATTTTGTAGTTCCCCAAAAAACTAAAGTGTATTACCATTTTCATGTGTTCAATGGCCATTTGTATGCCTTTTTTTTTTTTTTTAATTTATTTATTTGAGAGAGAGAGAGTACAAGCAGGGAGGAGGAGCAGAGGGAGAGGGAGAAGCAGACTCCCCACTTAGCAGGGATACTGACTCGGGGCTCGATCCCAAGGTACTGGGATCGTGACCTGAGCCAAAGGCAGACACTTGACTGAGCCATCCAGGCACCCCTGTATGCCTTTTTCTGATTCTTATCTGCTTCTATCACTTTCCCTTTTTCAAATTAAGTGTTACGTGTTTTGTTTCTTTCCTGATGCATATTCCTGATGGTGAACTCTTTCAGTAGATGATGGGAAGCCATTTATTAGAATTCCAGGTAGGAGACTGGTATTAGATTTGAATGTTAAAAAGCTCTCTAGAGGCACTGTGGAACACAAATTGGAGAGAGGAAGACTGGAGAAAAGTGAATGTGATGATGGCAATGTCATTCGACCTTTGGGAGTTGGGAAGGGGAGACTGGTATAATTAGTTATTGTGACTCATGAAACTCTGACCAAAATAATACTTGGTTCCAACCACTGGGCAAAACCAAGTAGGTTATTTGGGAAAAACAAAATACAAGAGAATTATGTTTACATTTTAAAACATAATTGTATTCCTAAAACATGCCTGACACACAGTGGGCACTAAATAAATATTTAACAAACAAACTGATAGGAGTTCTGAAGAGCTGTACTTGTATCTCAATCACCCAAAACAAAACACTGCATTAGGTATAGTTGCATACATTGGATAAATATTTAATAAATACAACATATAAACTGCTGTATATGACTTATATAAACAAACATTATTGGATAAATTGTAGCAAAACAGATCATCAACCTTACCTGCTAATATTCTGTACTTTATGCCATGTCAGTTTTGACTCTAATTTTCTGTGTGCAAGAGCAATCACTCGGAAGCCCTGTTTAGTGTAATCTTCCAAAACTTTTTCAAAATCAACAGGAACTTTTAAAAAGGAAAAAATAAATGTCATTGTTAAAATTGCAAATACAAGCTCACACAAATACCAGAATTTCACTCAAAGCCTAGTTGCTTCCTTACCTGTTTCAGGTTTACAAAGACTGGCAATGACCTCAGGTGCTCCTTTCATGTAGGCATCCATCTTCTTATCCCCTAGCACCCTTGCAACCACACTCATACGTTGCAAAGCAGAAGAAAATGGGAACTGGCGAACAATTCCTATCTCATAAATAGCCTATGTGATTTCAAAAGATGCACAAAGCATTTACTATTTTTTTAGAATTAAAGCAAGTATACTTAAGTAACAAGTAAACATTCTTTACTTACTGGAAGTTCAAACAGCTCCTAAAAGTAAAACAAAGCGAGAAGAATAAAGAAGCAGTAGTACAGATTAGGTCCATTAACATACTCAAGTTTAAAAAAAAAACAAAACTTGATACATCCGCAAAACATTACTTAAAAAATTGCAAGGAGCTTTGATTATTTCAAAGTCAGGTTTCAAGACTGCTTCTCTACTACCTCTCATTTAATAAAAATATATCCTTGAATATTTTCAAATATTTTGCTATCCTAAAATGTTAACATATTAAGTACTAAAATAAACTAAGGGGGAACATGATTTGATATTCACCTAAAAATAAAGCCTTTCACATATTCTTTTTACTGAATCCTAAGCATACAGTTTCAATTTAAAAGGATTAATTACCATGTACCTAAATCACAAGGCACTAAGCTGCTCAATAAATAGGAAGGAAAAGTAATGGTAATGAGAATTAAATCTTAATGTTTTATACAACTAGTGCCTGCAATACACCAGGTGTGTAGTTTTGGATAAATGCACTTAAAATATGCATATCTGCATAAGAGTTAAATAAAGGACATGTTATTTCATCTTCTGGCAACATTTCAAAATGAGGATTAAGCATGAGCATCAACAGCATTATCCAACTTAACATGATTCCGCACCATTTCTTGGTTTCCTGCAGGTGTGGATTCAGGAAGCAGCTGTTTCGCAGGACGAACCACAGTGGGCATAATTCGATTATGAAGTGCTGTTTCCTCTTCAGTTGCTTCTTCCAGAATCTGAAAGGAAAATACCCAACACATTACTTCATAAAATTCAATTCACTGGTTCTACTTTAAAAACAAAACAAAACAAAACCATTATGGCTATCTTCAGTAATAAAAAAAAAAAAAGTCAGTGCCCAAGGAATAAATGAGCACTACTAGATCATTAATGTAAGTAGAGTAAAATTTAAGCAAACTTAGAAGTCCTGGCAACCCACGGAAAATGAGAAGCAGAGGTTAGAAGTGGAATAAAGACCCAGAAAGGGGCGCCTGGGTGGCTCAGATGGTTAGGCATCTGCCTTTGGCTCAGGTCCTGATGTCCTGGGCTCGAGCCCCGCATTGGGCTCCCTGCTCCGTGGGGTGTCTGCTTCTCCCCCTCCATCCTGCTCGAGCTCTCTCTTACTATCTCTGTCTCTCTCAAATAAATAAATAAAAAACTAAAAAAAAAAAAAAGAACCAGAGAAACAGAGAAAAACTTCTCATTTTGATTACAACCTGCTGATCTAGACGATCTTGGCAAAAAAACAGAAGATTCTTGCAATACCAAAAATGTTCAGTCTATCACCCAAGGATTCTTTTCTGCTACCAGGAAAGGATTCAGATGGCAGAGTAGTAGGGGGATGCTGAGCTGGCCTCGTCCCTCGAACACAGCCAGATCAACATCCAACTATTCTGACAAGTAGGAATACGATCTAGGATTAAGAAAACAATCTGCACAGGGCCGCCTGGGTGGCTCAGTTGGTTAAGCGACTGCCTTCAGCTCAGGTCATGATCCCAGGGTCCTGGGATCGAGCCCCGCGCATCAGGCTCCCTGCTCGGCAGGAAGCCTGCTTCTCCCTCTCCCACTCCCCCTGCTTGTGTTCCCTCTCTCGCTGTCTCTCTCTCTGTCAAATAAATAAATAAAATCTTTGGGGAAAAAAAAAAGAAAGAAAACAATCTGCACAGGGTGCCTGGGTGGCTCAGTTGGTTAAGCGACTGCCTTCGGCTCAGGTCATGATCCTGGAGTCCCAGGATCGAGTCCCGCATTGGGCTCCCTGCTCAGCAGGGAGTCTGCTTCTCCCTCTGACCCTCCCCCCTCTCAACGTGCTCTCTCTCTCATTCTCTCTCTCAAATAAATAAAATCTTTAAAAAAAAAAAAACAATCTGCACAGTTGGAGGGAGAGGACGTGGCAGATGGGAGGTTTGGAGCCATGAACTGGGGGAGAGGAAAGCCAAGGGGACCCAAAGGGAAGGGAACCCTTTTCATGGGGCAAAGTCAGGAAGAGGGAGAGAGTGGGAAAGGACGCAGCAGGTGGGAAGCACACAATAAGCCGAGGTGAGGAGATCCCCCGGGTCACATGTGGGAGAGATCACTCCCCCTTCCCATCGTACATTTGGAAGAACATATTTTGCCTCTCCAAGGACAAAAGGCTAGCTGGTAGCCACTGAGCAGAGCTCAACAGCAGGGACAGAGGTGTGCGCAGAGGGCAGATAACCTTGTAGCAGCTTTTCACTGTGAGCCACGATAGACCTAAACCACCCAAGTGCAGGTAACCTGGCTGCTGCTTTTCGCTGTCTGCCACAATAGATTCAGCCTCTGTGCGACTGCTTTTCTGGGACAGAACAGAGTAGGGGACTGAGTTGCGGCTTTTCGCTGTACGTCACAATAAACTCTAGCCTGCATGTATTAACTGTGTGACTACTTTTCTGGGACAGGATGGTGCTGGGCACGCCACGAGTTTCTCCTCTGGCGTAGGGGAGTGGGTCTGTATCTTGCCAGGCCCTTTAAAACTTGGGAGTTTTGAATCCCAGCCACCGGGCAGAGATAAAATACAGAAGATCTGTGGCACCAGGCATACCAACAGCCAGGGGACAGGTCAAGAACAGGGAAATGACAAAAGCCCGGGACACAGAGATTTTTTTTTTTTTTTAAGATTTTATTTATTCATTTGTCAGAGAAAGAGAGAGAGCGCACACACACAAGCAGGGGGAGAAGCAGGCTCCCCGCGGAGCAGGGAACCCGACAGGGAACTCGATCCCAGAACTCTGGGATCACGACCCAAGCCGAAGGCAGACACCCAACCGAGCCACCCAGGCATCCCGAGATTATCTGCTTTTTTGAGAGGGCCTCCTGAATAGCGGTAACCAGGAGTTCCCCTCTCTAGGGACAAGAGGGTAGGATGATGCCATATTCTTCCTCCTCCACCATCCATCCCTCCGCGCCCCCCACCCCAAGCTCAGTCGGACTTCAGAGAGAAGCACAGCACCTCCCTGGAGGCTGGAGTCCCCTACACTACTCCCGGTGCCCTTTGCCTGGTAGGGGCATCTTTATAAGGGCAAGTCAGCTTGTAAACCAGCACAGCAGGCCTCTCCCTCAGAAGACCAACACAGGCCTCCGCATGTACCAAGTCTACTGATAAAAGAGCACTCCAGGGCGCCTGGGTAGCTCAGTCATTAAGCGTCTGCCTTCGGCTCAGGTCATGATCCCAGGGTCCTGGGATCGAGTCCCACATCGGGCTTCCTGCTCAGCGGGAGGCCTGCTTCCTCCTCTCCCACTCCCCCTGCTTGTGTTCCTGCTCTCGCTATCTCTCTCTCTATCAAATAAATAAATAAATAAAATCTAAAAAAAAAAAAAAAAGAGCACTCCAAAATGTCAGCTTCCGGTGGAAATAGGACCAGGCTTGCTTCTTTTTTTCTCCTTAATTTTTTAAATGTTTTGTTTCTCCATTTCTACTTTTTATCTTTTACTTTATACGTATATATTTTTTCTTTTTCTTTTCTCTTTATCTTTTTTTGGGGGGTATCAGGCTTATAATTTTTTGTTCATTTGTTGGTTTGTCCCCTTCTAGCTTATTTTTCAGAACAGGCTTCTTTTTTTTTTTTTTCTCTTTTCTTCTTTCCTTACTCTTTTTTTCCTTCTTTCTTTCTCATTCTTTGGAATCAGGCTTATAGTTTGTTGTCTGTTTGCATTTCTGTTCCTTTTCTCTTGTCCTGGATCAGGCTTTTCTTTCTTTTCAAATTAACAAACAAATCAAAGCACACCAAGTTAAAGATCCAAACACTCCCCACTACAAGCAAATAACTCCGTAGAGGACAGACCAGTGGGAAAGAGCAGCCAAAACACAACAGTAGAGTGCACACAGCATACACCAGAAACACTTCCTGAAGTTTTTGTTGTTGTTATTTTTTTTTAAGATTTTATTTATTTGAGAGAGAGAGCACAAGCAGGGGGAGGGGCAGAGAGAGAGGGAGAAGCAGACTCCCTGCTGAGCAGGGAGCCAGATGCTGGCTCAATCCCAGGACACTGAGATCTGAACCAAAGGCAGCCGCTTAATTGACTGAGCCACCCAGGTGCCCCTTCTTATTGTTATTGTTGTTGTTGTTTTTTTCTTCTTTTCTTTTCTGGACAAAATGAGAAGTTGGAGAAATTTACCCCAAAAGAAAGAAAAAGAGATAGTACTCATAACCACCCAGGGATTTAATCAATATGGACATAACTAAGATGTCTAACATAACTAGAATTTAAAACAATTATAAAGATACTAGCTGGGCTTGAAAAAAGCACAGAAGACACTAGAGAATCCCTTACTATACAGATAAAAGAACTAAAATCCAGTCAGGCCAAGATTAAAAATGCTATAACCAAGATGCAGTCCCAAGCGGAGGCCACAAAAATGAGGATGAACAAAGCTGTGATATATAAGATAAAATTATGGAAAATAATGAAGCTGAAGAGAAGAGGGAAATAAAACTATCAGATCACAAAGGAAGACTTAGGGAATTCATTGATTCCATAAAGCAAAATAATAGCCATATTATAGGGGTCCCAGAAGAAGAAGAGCAGGAGAAAGGGGCAGAAGGTTTACTTAAATTATAGTTGAGAACTTTCCTAATCTGGGGAAGGAAACAGGCATTCAAGTCCAAGAGGCACAGAGACCTCCCCTCAGAATCAACAAAAACAGATTATTAAAGTGAAACTTGCAAATTACAAAGTCATAAAGAGAAAATCCTGAAAGCACCTCAAGACAAGAGGACACATAAGGCTGGCAGTAGACCTGTCCACAGAGACCTGGCAGACCAGAAAGGACTGGCATGATATAGTCAACATGCTGAATGGGAAAAATATGCAGCCAGGAATACTTTATCCAGGAAGTCTTCATTCAGAATAGAAGGAAAGATAAGAGTTTCCAAGACGAACAAAAACTAAAGGAATTCGTGCACACTAAACCAGCCTTGCAAGAAATATTAAAGGGGACCCTTTAAGCAGAGAGACCAAAAGTAACAAAGACTAGAAAGGAAGAGACACAATCTACAGGAACAGAGACTTTACAGATAATACAAAAGTACTAAATTCATATCTTTCTTTTTTTCTTTTAGAAAAAGGAAGTTTTATTCAACCAAAAGTTAGCATTAACTGCTTTCCCCAATGACAAATTTCTCCAATTATACATTTATAAAATTTAGCATTGTTAAAATTTATTCAAATCCTTCAATTACTGTTCTCTATTAGAGAATGTTCTGTTTCTTAGAGTTCCAAATGATGAAAGAGGTGGTAATCTGTTGAAAAAAGGTCAGATGAGTGTGATGGATATGGCAAAAGTTCTTGGCCCAATGCAGTCATTCCCTAGGGTGGTCTGGGATTTCAGTGGTCAAATGTTGTCATGGAAAAGTACAGGTCCATCCATATCTGATAACCAATGCAGAGTGCTTTTAGATCCATTTTTGATACATATAAATTCATATCTTTCAATAATTACTCTGAATGTAAATAGACTAAATGCTCCAATCAAAAGACATAGGATATCAGAATGGATTTAAAAAACAAGACCCATCGATATGCTGCTTACAAGAGACTCATTTTAGACCCAAAGACACCTCCAGATTGAAAGTGAACATTTATCATGCTAATGGACATCCAAAAGTAGCCATCCTTAAATTAGACAAACTAAATTTTAAACCAAAGACTGTAATAAGAGATGAAGGACATTATATCATAATAAAGGGATCTATCCAATAAGATCTAACAATTGCAAACA